CCGCAAACTAAACAAAAGATGGAAATAAAAAAAAACACTCCAAAAATACCTTAATTTCTATATAAATACGTGGGATATCAAAGTACTTTGTTTTCGGGAATTTGGATAAGATTCTTCCTCGTGAGCTACTCAGCAAAATGGGAAAAGGAACACCTTCCAAAACTTTCCCTTGAGTTGAGCTCACCAAAAGTGTGGACGGATTACGGATACTGGTAACAACAATATACATGTAGACCCACATTAAAGAAAATATTATAAATTATTGTGTTAAATTACATATGGTGTCAGGCTGGTTCAACACCACATTCCTATTTTATTTATCTCGGGATGGAAATTGTCGATACTTGAAGTGTTGTTCTTTTCTCGTTGATAAATATATTGCCATTATAAAATCTATAAGATACCAACCCGTACTTAAGAGTTAGTTGCGGGCTTCTGTTTGCTAGAAGTGTTGAATATGTATATTTTTGGCAGTACTAATTAGGCCTTTCTTAAAGAGGTATTATCACGTTAACCAAGAAAATAATACAGTTACTTTTACGTTGTAACACATTCTAAATAACCCCACACCGAACTAAAAGAACACTAACCAAAAATTTCAAACAATGTACTGAACGACTACTAATTTTAAACATAAAACGTTTACATCGCAGAAATGGGTTGACAAAGATTATGTTTAATGAGTTTAACTCTTTAACTTACAGGAGTCATGGTAGTCTAGTGGTGATTGCAGAGTATTCTATGCGATATTTTCATCGTAGTCCTTTGATGTCAAGAACCATTAATTGCTGAAGAAAAACTGGCATTTGCTACCAGTGTACATATATCACTATTCAGCTATTTCTGGTTCCATCGACTTGTGGCTTTATTGAGTAACACAACCTTCTGGAATAGGGCGATTGGGAAAAATGGATTATACCTGTACTTACATATTCTCCTACTTTTAGAATAGAACGCCTTACAAGTATAAGAATACCCGTAACAGTTTTGTAGGGAAAACATGGAATTGGTTTTTAGAAAAGCATTTCCATTATAGTCTTTGACACTCACATACTATTACAATATATTTTTTTTTATATCATACAATGTCAACCAACAGCAAATCATTTAAATCACCTCGAGAGTACAGTATATGTTCCTACTTCACCTTAATTTATTTACAGCGACAAGGTATGCAATGAGCTATCAATTATACACAAGCATGTGAAAGTACTATAAGTGTTTAAAGATAAAATATACCTATTAAAATGGCAATGGCTCTTAGCTAGTAAGGCAGAACAATAATTCGTATTTAATTCTTTAACCTTACTAGTTGTGGGATTTACTTATTAATTTATAAATTATGTCATTTTAAGCTCTGATACTTACAGTGTTCTGGAATAATACCAGTTTTACTCTCTATAATGCCACTTTCTGTAAGGAAACGGTATATTAATTGGCAGCTAATTAATGTTTAGCCATTGTAGCCTATTTAAGTATTATTCAAATTCTAATAGATTTGTAGATGTTCACAATATGCAAAGGTTGGGCGTGGTTTGTTAATATGACCCAAGTCTTTAACATTTTAGTGTTCTGCCCATAGCTGATTATCGCAAAGTTATTGAAAATCGCCAAAAATTGTTCCCTGACACCAGACTGGGATAAAAACTCTCATATTATATCAATATAAAAATATTGGTATAGGAAGTGTTGATTAATTTTCAAATCGTAATAATATAATATCCTACTGATGATCTTGTATAATATGGTTGTTATTTGAAGATGAAGTAGCTTTGAGGAATAAAATCTATCTATAAAATCCATCAATGTCATGATCGGAGATCTTTAATGGTATTTGTTTTATGATCGCATCATGATAAGTTTTGAATTATGAAATAAGTACATTAATGTAGATAATAAAAAATTTATCAGGACAAAATCGATTCTTTAGATGAATTAGTTCCCCTTTCAGAAAATATAATACTACAGTTTATATATTTTACCAATTTTGATGTGTTTCATAAATGGCTAAATTTATGAATCTGTGAAGATGTAAAATCAGAACTTCAATTTGAACTAATATCCAGAGACGGATTCAGGAAAAATGAGGCCCTGTTCTAGTTAAGTTATGAGACCCCTTATTTGGAGAATGAAGGAGATAGACCCGACATGCCTACACAGACAATCCAGTATACGTGCTCAGAAAATTTTGGAGTAATTAATATATGACATGTTACCTAATCAATCATTATTTTCAACAAGTTCTAGGCAATTTTTTTTAATTATCACGGAAGATGACCCCCACCCCCGCCAACACATACACACACTCCCCACTGGCCAACGGGGCCCTGTACTTAAGCACAGTAGTGGTAAATCCGGCACTGCTTATATTACTTACGGTTTTGGCAACAGATCTGCCCGGTTGCAATCCATAAATAGCTGTGTGGGTGAATAACCAATCTTTAATATTGTGATAAGAGATTCATTGTATTAATACTTGTAAGATGAAAGTTAAATCTTGTAAGATGAAAGTTAAATCTTGCGTACATAAAGATCAAAATGTCATTTCAGCTGCTCTTTTACTTGCTTGTTGAGACTTCATTTTTAAAATTAAATAAGTGGTATAAAGAAAGATAAATATGTTACTTCTACACAGTACATGTAAATAAAAATAGCTTCATGGATAGAAATCTTGTAAGATTCTAGTTAAATGGTTTAAAATCCGAGAAATTGTGTTCTAAATAAATCTGGATTGACTGGAATCAAAGAAAAGTTTGATGAAAAGTTCAAAGAAAGAAAGTGAAACATAGAGCTTGTCAGGAAGTCGAATTACATTAAATTATTACCATTCATCATGGGATTTGCTGGTGCTTTGTTTTCCTCCAACTAGAACACATTAAAGTGATTAAAGGAACACACACCTGTGAGATAACAGCTGGTCTAGTGTGTTCTGAGTGTGGACACAAATATGAGCACTAAACAAGACTGGAATGCTAACAAGGAATGAGTTTGTGTCTAATTAACCTTCACAAAGCAGTTGGTGAGGTCTTCAGACATGATTAACATGCATGTGCACACATATTATACTATTGATTACACGTCTTCTTCAATTATTTCTCTATATTGGTCATAAAGAAGATCCGACGTGGAGCATCAGCCAAACACCGACAATATGTTAGATATCCAACCTTCCATGAACAATTTATGCCCCATGTGTGCAACTTATATTTTTTACGAGATTGTGCCAGAAATTCATTTAGAACTATGACAACACGCATATTATACCCAAAAGAAACATGGTTTGTATGTGTGAAGAGCCATTTTTAGCAGCCATGATATCTTTCCCATACATAATCCTTAAAATTAAGAAGGGCTTTTACTAGCGAGTCGTGATAACCCATGACGACAATTTCCTTTGATCTTGGAAGCCAATTCTATTGTTGTTTTTAGTGTTTACCGTCCGCTTCAACCGAGGTTGATATCGCAGATAAGTTGTCTTATTTTCATTTTTTATTATTATCTTTGCGCACGTGCAGGCGTCTCTGCTGTGGGAAGAAACCGGAGTACCCGGAGTAAACCCACGAGGTTGAGAATGCGTCCCTATCTCCAAGCCACATACGCTCACATCGAAATTACAGTGCCGATGAAAAATTAAACATAGTGCACATTTCACAGAAAGTCCTTGTCATCGGCCATGTTACCGAAAAGATAAACACAAACTTATGCATACGCATAAATCTTAAAAGAAGTGAAACGGTAAGCCCTTGGTTCATTGGGCTACTCTGCTTGATAAAATACATGTGTTGTAGAATGTTTTATGGCAATTATTTAAGTGATAAAGATCGTAATCTACAATTTAATTATAATGATAGTATTGGTTAATACCTCATAGATTATTTAACATATATACACCGTTTTATTATCTCTTATCGCATGCACGGTAACTAACATTACCTCCACACACTAGTAAATGTACGACAAATTAAATATCAAACTTCTTTGGAGGAAAATCAATTCATATTCCAGACACATTTGATTGAGATAAATAAGCTATGTGCATGCTCTATCTAATATTCTCTTTATAGGTTGTAAATTAATTAAAGTTTATAATTAATATTTTTTTCTCAATTAACTTAAGTGAGTTTGATGAGCTAATACTGGATAGGGTAAATAGGAAGGCTTGTTGGAATAAGACAACTGGGCTAGCTGGTTTGAATGTCTACTATATATTCTAAAGTGAAGTTTGTTAATTTTGTTCTCTTTAAAGGAATAATAGCAATGTTTAGTGGGTGATTTCAGTAGGGTTCTCATTAACATGCCCCTAATATCAACAATCAGTTTCAAAGAAATGCTATGTAAGGCTTTATTTAACTCTGTCTGGGAAACAATTTCTAATTCCTGGTCTCCTCAATTACAGTTGGGTTCTCCTGTGCCTATCTGACCTTTTGTTTTAAAGAAAAGCTATGCAAGCTATACAAATTTCTAATTTCTGGTCTCCCGAGGACTACAAAAATGACTTACATGTATATCCATAGCAGATAGCTATTGAAACATCGAGTCAATAATAGGATATGATGATAGAATACTGTTAGATATATGTCTGCTGTTTGTAATTATATTATAAAATGAAATAGTGTTTAACGTCCTACTTTTCAGGACCAACCAGGCTAATGAAGACAAACATTTTGCCGAACACTTCATCGAATTCCAACTGGCAAGTGCTCTTTCGCATGCACAGGTACCATCCAAATGACTCATTGCCTTTCCTTGCACTGACAAGAGAGAACCAGACTAGACAATCTTGTGGAACATTCATAGCCAACACCTAGATCGATCTCAGGGGCCACTTGATTAGTGAGCCAACGTCATGTGGCTCTCATAGTTATATCATGAGGTATGATCTGTCAATGCAACTGTATATTCCAACGAAAACGCGGTTATATGACAAGATAGTAAGAAAAAATAAAGTTTGACTAATAACAATATTTGCTTAAAGTTTTTTAAAATAATGTAGGCTACACAGTTATTGGGGTAAGAAAAAAAAATACATTAAAAGTAATAATAAAGAAATGATATAATTTTAATCTAAATGACTAGAATTCCACAGATCATAAGTACAATTAGATATCTTTATAATGATTTCCCTCCTAATCAAATCTACATAATGAGTTTTTTTTAAATGTATATCTGGGAATTTCAGATCCCTGGTGGTCTCCTAAAAAATATGATAATCAAAAATGTCTGAGTTCCTTGGAAATCACAACATAAAAATGTCTAAATAGTTTCAGAGTTTGAAATCAATGCCCTAAAAACCTATAGATTCATTACAAAGACTAGTGGTTTAAAATGGTGATGACAGCAACCAATTTCCATTTATTAAAGTCTGTTAAAGGTTTCTGTATTCATTAGAGACATAGTTGTGATACAAAACTTACTTTTATTCTAGTTAATTTTCTCTTCCATTAACTGTGTGCTGCAGGAGCTACAATGGGAAGTTAATACTGTAAGTTAGAATTATTGGAGTCAAAAGTCAAGGGGCTTTAAGTCCCTTCTGCTCTGATAATCAATACTTCTTTATGCTCTTTTTTTTATTCTAGATAGGTTCATTATCACACTTCTGTCACATCTTATTAAGATGAAAGACAGTATTTCTTAAACTACCGAAAAAAACATCTCCATTCCATAAACACATTCTTCTTTTACAGGATTAAGTATACAAACTTATTTGCAGCTTTTAGCTTCCTGAAAAGATAAATAAAATGGCCAAACTCCAAACCACAAAAAATCTTTCAGTAAATTTATTTCAAGGAATTATAAAAAATACCTTATTACAGAATAAAAAGCTGTTCAGATGCCTGAGTAGTGCCAGTGGTGGTGTCCTGAATTAAGACTAGATTGAACTAGTTCAATTCTAACTTCAGTGGCCGACATTACCCCTTTTCAAAAAGTGTGCTTCAAAGGATCTTTGTGTCCTTTAATCTGTATAGCTAACTTAATTTGCTAGAACTTTAAAAAAACGTTTTCAGCTGGTTCAAACATTAAACTTCTATAACAAGTATGTCTGAGACTTGATATGTTCAGAAGCTTCTTGGTCAATTCAGGTTTACACAGCCAACAAATAACATCTTAAACTTAGCAAGCTTTAACCTAAATCATATAATGTCTGGATTTCAGATTTGCATATAGCCACCACTGTTTACTGAATTTCATGCACATTTGTTAGAGATTTCAAAGGTTAGCTATCTTCAGATAAGTTCCAACACAAGTTATTTCTTTAAATATTGCTTAGTAAAGAGAGATATATAGTATAAAAATATATTTATATACAGCTTTGATTGTAACCTAGGGGGTTACTTCCATAAAAACGTGAACAACTGTATAATCTGGATATGGATTTATTCACCAGCAACAATATTAAAAACAATTTACAACTGAAAAGGAATGAACAAGACGATGTGCATTATTTATGATAAAATAATATCCCACTATATGAAACTTTAATCTAATTTATGACTTGGTTGTGAGAACACTAATCTCCAATAGTTTTGAAAGTTTGATTAGTTGCACAAGAGAAGATGAACAAAATGTCGCCACTAGTGACTTATACTAAATAAAAATATGTTAATTATAAAGACAATAGATAAGGGTGTAGAAGGAGCTTAATTAAATCCTAAAAACAACTATGCAATAAAACATCTGTTTGTAAAAGACTAAAATAATGAATATATTTAATTATATTGAAACAGGCATAGGAGATTAGTGTCTGATTATAGGTATTACTGGTCTTAATTTACAATGTATAATATTCTGTTATAATAAAATGACAAGAACTATTTATTTATGAATATACATAACACAAGAAAAATATGTTGTCTAAGCATTTTGTTCAAATTCTTGGTTATATGTAATGAAGCCAAACTGTAGTCCGACAGGACTATGGCTGGACCTGGGAATTGTATACAAAGTTTTATTATGATTGATTTTAGTACCCTAGAGTGTCCTCTTTCAGAATCTGCCGGGTGAACCTCGGTCACCCTTGAGCGTTTTTAGAAATTCAAGATGGCGTCCAAGATGACCCCATTTCAAATAATATTTAGTCTAGAATGATAATTTTGGTGTCTAACCGTATGTTGTTGGGGTGATTAGATGATAGTAAAATCAAACATGCCAGACAATATGTTTTTGTAACTTGTTAGCGATGGTTGGAAGTGACTTTTTCACCAAACCTGACTACATCTAGTGACAAACTATATATTTCTGGACATAGGAGCATATGAGCAATACGATAACACCACAGACATGACTATTGGGGCCCCCAGGGCCAACTTGCTCCAGGGTCTGTCACATGTAAATGCAATAGTGACATCCCATGTAGTACGCTTGCTTGTAGCTGTAGTACTAGGGATGGCTTATAATGTACATTATTTTGAGCTTGTTCTGTCGCAGGTTGCAGCCAGAAACACGACTAAAGGATTAAACTGAATATTACCTAGTTTTGTGGGGTTTATTTTCGTGTTTTGCGGGTAGAATTTGATTTCTTAGATTTTCAAAAAACAGCTTGTGTCCTCCTTTTCAGGGCAGGCCCAAGTTGTCCTGTAACACCTGATAGGCATGTATGTGGTGTTATCGTATCACTCATATGCTCCTATATCCGGAAACATATAGTTTGTCTCTAGATATAGTCTGTTTTGGTGAAATAATGAACCTCAACGACCGCTAACGAGTTAAAGGGCCATATTGTCTGGCATTTTGGACTTTATTATTATCTAATTACCCAACAACATAATGAACGATTTCAGTCTATTCCTTGACCCCATAAACATACGGTTACACACTAAAATTATCATCCTAGAATAAATACTATGAGAGCTATTGGGGATTATTTAAAATGGATCGCGTCTTGGTTGCCATCTTGTATTATTCAAAACGCCCAAGGGTGACCAAGGTTCACCTGGCAGATTCTGGAAGAGGACACCCAAGGCTACTAAAATCAATCACAAAAAAAACTTTGTATACAATTTCTAGGTTCACTCAAAATACTGGGTTTGGCGATCGGACTACGGAAGCAGGGCCGAAGAACCAAACAGTTAATACCAAACCAGAATACATGTACTCGTGGCAAACCAATAAACCAAACAAAGGCTTTTGATGTGTTGATATCCCCCAAAAAATGAAGAATAAAATTCTTGGTTATACTTACCACATGATCAATGTTAATTCAAACCTTTATCCAACTGGGAGAGTTTATGTTTTAACTAACAAACCTTCCATTATCATGATGCACCATTAGAATTTTAATTACCACAACATGATTTCTCTTACAAATGCTTTAATCTGCAAATGAATATGGTAAACAAAAGAAATTAATAACTATATCTTATATCATCAGGTACACAGCAAGCAGTAAGTCCCATATTCATTAATCGGACATTTATTTTTTTCAAAGGTAGCAAGCAATCAAACAGATTATCACCTATACACTAAGTTTCATCACTCTCAATCAGATAGAATCAAAGTTATCTTGTCTCAAAGCATCGACCAATGAGATTGCTTAGCTCTGCTTAGATTTAGCTCAAAATGTTAAATCATTGAACTCAGTCAAGACATTCACCTAATGAACATCTACATCAAGTTTAACCATTCTACCTCAATTAAAAGCAGAGTTGTTATGTTCCAAAGTCTTGACCAATCAAATTGCTTATCGCTCTTCTTACCCTGAGCAGAAAATTCTCATCATCAAAATTAGACACGGTAATGATATAATGAATCTATACTCAGAGTTTCATCACTCTCACTTAATTAAAACCAAAGTTATCGTGCCCCAAAGCATCAACCAATCAGATTGCTTATCTCTGCTTACCGTAAGCAGACAATGTTCATCATCAAACTCAATCAAGTTTGAACATTTTACCTCAATTAAAAGGAGAGTTATTGTGTTCCAAAGTCTCTATTTATCAAATTGCTTATCGCTCTGCTTACCTTAAGCAGAAAATGCTTATTATGGAAATTACTCAAGGTATTGATGTGATAAAACTATACACCAAGTGTCCTCACTATCACTTAATTAGAACTAAAGTTATCAACTTATTGTGTCCCAAAGCATCAACCAATCAAATTGCTTATCTCTGCTTAACCTAAGCAGAAAATTCTCATCTTCGAACTCTGAATTCCATCAAGGCATTCACCTAATAAACACCTACGCCAAGTGTGAACATTACAGCTCAATTAGAATGAGAGTTATTGTGTTTGAAAGACTCAACCAATCAAATTGCTAATCGCTCTGCTTACCCTGAGCAGAAAATGCTCATTATAGAACTTAGTCAATGTATTGATGTAATAAAACTATATACCAAATTTCATCACTCTCATTTAATTAGAACTAAAGTTATCATGTCCCAAAGCACCAACCAATCAAATTGCTTATCTTTGCTTACCCTAAGCAGAAAATGCTCATCTTCGAACTCCATCAAGGCATTCAAGTAATAAACACATACACCTAGTTTGAACATTCTAGCTCAATTAGAAGGTGAGTTATTGTGTTCCAAAGTCTCGGCCAATCAAATTGCTTATTGCTCTGCTTACCCTGAGCAGAAAATGTTCATTATTGAACTTAGTCAACCAATCAAATTGCTTATCTCTGCTTACCCTAAACAGAAAATGCTCATCTTTAAACTCCATCAAGGCACTGAACATTCTAGCTCAATCAGAAAGAGAGTTATTGTGTCCCCAAAAGTTTGACGGACAGACAGACAGGCGGACGGACAGACAGACAGACGGACCCATTTTAATAGTCACCTGCTTTCTTCGAAAGGCGGGGGACAAAAAGAAATATCTTGTAGTGTACACTATATATATCCTAGGTAACTGGATACTCTACATAATTAAAAATTTTAACAAACGATGCTCGATTTCCAAGATGTGTCAAAAGCAAATGAATGCCTCAAAAAGAATGAATCAATGCCTTATAGATATTTATAAAGTGCCCTCTAAGTTGCATACTATCATAGTATTAAACCCATCTTCTAACTGAATTATCAATATCACATTTAAACAAATTAGTGGTTATTGCATTCACCTCTATCAACTTACTGTCCATTTTCATCAAAATAACTGATGCTTAATAATTGTAAAGTCAATTATTTCCAAAATAATTAGGTGGGGCAAGTTAATCTTAAAAGTGAAGTGACCCCAAACAAATTGCAAAAGAAACCAATGCAGTTGGATTCAATCATGCTTATATTAGAAAACATCATACCCAAACCTTATAAGACATATAGAAATAGATTTCACTAAAATTAAAACACTTATCTGGATGTACCTACTTCTGAATTTTATTAACATGCTACGTTTCAGTACAAATACAGGTATCGTTATCAAGCCGTAACATGTTAATAAAATTTAGAAGTAGTACATCCAGACAAGTGTTTTAATCATACTCAAATTCGACCGAAGTCGGCCAAGGTAAAATGACGTAATTACCATAATTCAATATGTCAGGAGGTTTTTGAAAGCGATATATTGTAACCAGTGCATTTCAGTGGTGGGACAATAAATAGATTTTTTTTTTAAATCTTACAAAACAAAGTAGCTGTAAACTGGCCGCGGAGCTCGGACGGACGGTCCGGGTGCTCTCCCCCGAGAAAATTTTGAAAAATGAACCCCAAATATGCGATTTGGTGGCATATCTGATTATAATCTCTGTCAAATTCAGCCATCAGACCAGCTATCACCAAGTTTTGCAGAGGCCTTAAAATTGAATTTTTTTTTGATATACGAACCATTGGCAGACGTTTCTGGTGTATCCCCACAAACAGGGTGCAGAGGACTTAATAATTAGTAAATTTGTGGGCGACAGTGTTGGGTGAATCCGATGAAATTTTCGGAATTCCGGCCCACAACCAGCACACATCTGGCCAAGAAAGTCTATTATACCAGCCCATTCGAGACTCCAGTGATGGCATGGCGGCCCGTTAAAGCCACCGGCACATACAACTTGATAATACCCCCGCCACCCCATATAATGTTCAGCAGAAAAAAGGTTTTTAAAGACGAATTGGACAAAATTATTTTTTTCACTCTTTGTCCGACTGGCCCATCGGGCAATCGCCCGATGGCCCAATCCTCCCCTGGCTGTAAAATATTCAACCAATATACCAATTGTTATAATTTATGGTTATAAAATATATGATAACTTAAAATCTACCATGTAATACAGAAACTTGTAACATGTTTTAACACCATATCCTTCAATCTGAACTAACAATAAATTGTGTAATGGATAAACCTTTTTTTATAACGAATATACAAATTATTATTTTATATGGCATACTTTTACTGATAATTAAAGTAATAATAATGTGGAAATTTGCAACATATTCTAACATCCTACTCTAGAAATCACCATTTACAGTCAGTTTTTGAAAAGAAATTACGCGACTGGTAGGAGAGAGCCACCCCCTCCCCTGAAAGAGTGGAAATCCCTCACGGAGTAAGGATCAGTCTGTCACAGGTACCATATAGATCGATAGTAACCACAGGCTCATTTCTGTCTTATGTATTTATTGTCTAGTATCCACTGGTAAGGACATCACAAGAACTTATCATGAAATGTATAACAGACATGAACCTGTGGTTACTATCGGTCTAGATGATACCAGGGACGGACCAGGAGCCAAGGGTCCCTGAACTTGGGTACCCATTATATGGGGTACGGTGGGGTTCTCTCTTTCCCTGTGCAAAATTTCTTTTGAAAAAAACTGATGTAAATGATGTTTTCTATAGTATATCTTGAAGTTTCTAGCTTTGGTGTATGACAATCTTATCAGAAATTAATTTTTGAACCCAGTATTGAATTCAGTAACTGTGGAAACCTTATTTTACAGTATAAGCAATATCCACAAAAACAAAAATCACCATTTTGGATTCTATTCTGTTTTAAATTTACACCATCTGGGCTATTGGTAGAAATTGAACACAGCAACCTCAAAACTTCTATATAACACATATTACAAGCCATATCCAATGGAAGCAAATGACGATTAATTTAAATTCCGCCATTTTAGATTTCATTTCTGCCATCATGGATTCTCATTTTTTAGATCAGAATTGATTCCAGAGACATTGAAAATCATGTAAATGACATATTCCAAGTCATATCCAACATAAAAAAATAACAATTAACTTAAAATCTGTCATTTTGGATTCCACTCTATCTTCAAACAAATTCAGAGACACCGAATAAACATAAAAGACATAGAAAAAGTCATATTTTATGAGATTCTCGCTGGTTGTATGGGGTAAATGCCATTTTCTTAACAAATTTGGCAACAATTTTGAAAGAAATAGCCGCCACCATTTGAAAAAATACATTTTTGAAAATACTTTTTGGTCAAATTTGGGTTTTTTCGGCACATTTAAAACAAAATTAGTTATTCCCCCACCACTAAATCACACTGGTTACGAGATATCGCTCTCCAAAACTTCCTGAAGATCGCCATTAATTTATGTTAATTACCTTATTTCAAATTATGTTATCTGACATATGTATTATTGAACCAAACTACATTGGTTTCTTTTGCAATTTGTTTGGGGTAAAACGTTATCCCTCACCGCCTAAATACGCACATTGCTATTTTCAGTAACATAAATTAATTATATCATCTCCCTGTTCATTTTTGAAAAAATAAAAGACTAGTTATGTAAATAATTTAGACATTGCTACATTTTGGTTATCCCTTGTGAGTATCACTCACTAGTCTCTTTATTCCCACTGAATCAAGGAGCCCTACCTTAAAAATCCCTTAGTGTTCCAGTATATCTACACTTCACTATGCATTATCATTTTTGTTTTTTGAAGCATTCATGATTATCTATTTATTGTTATTTTTCTGTTTATTAATATTGATGAGATTGAAGTTACAGCCCATAAACCGGATTCTATGTTATTCAGCACTAGAAGTAGAAAGAGTTATTCATTTTGCACCATAAAGACTTAATCAAACGAATTGTGCAATGAGGGATAGATTTGCTTCTATTACCTTTACTGGAACATTAGGTTCCCAAGACACCAAAATCTATCTTTTTTGCAGGCCTAATAAACATTCTATCCACAATAGCGATGAATGTTATAAAAGCCATTGATTTTGAATAGATATCTAAATGAGGTCAGTTTGAATAATTTACTGGTAATATTTAAATTACTTCTTCTAATCCACTTGATAAATTTCAACTGTTTTCTATGATTCTAATTCTGATATTTCTTAATAAAGTTCATTGGCACCAATTGGCTAAGCACCAAATTTGCTTGGCTAGTGTTATTTCAGACTGGTTCAAAT